CTTGACGTCGTCACATATCATCGCCAACAACATTAACACATGCCATTGCGTGTATGGTTGATATATACCATCAACAACCGAATTTCTGCCCGGCTGCCGACTAACACCGAACTTTTGCCCAACAGCCGACTAACGCTGGGCTTCTGCCCAACTGGTGACTGACAGCAAACTTTCGCCCGACCGTTAATTAAAGCCAGATTTCCTCCTGATCACCAAACGTTGCCAACTTTCTAATCACCGTTCATAACTGGATTTCAACCCGACGAATGATTATTAGAATATGATCTTTCTTAATTTCAGGGACGAGTTAGTCACTTGTAATCTAATCAAATACTAGTGGAATCATTTCAATCGAGTGCGGCCAGTGTTTTTTTTTCCTTTTCTAGGATTTTTTACGTAAAAATTATGATATTTTTTTTTTCTTCTGTTTATATGCTGGATATCCGTACAATGATGAGTCGAAAATTTCTTACTTGTATGCTGGATATCCGTAATGTCTCATACAACTCATATTTTATCTCTATATTATTGGGATCCTTAGATAAAGCTAAGACAATAATTTTTTGGGAGATTTACATACATACCACTTAATACTATTCTATTTACATATTTAACACCTAAAATTTTAATATTACATACATACCACCCATAGTTCATTTTCATACCAAATATGAGTGGTAGAAATGAAATATATGAGTGGTAGGAAAGAAATATAATTGATATATTTGATATTAAAATAATATAGGGTGATATACATGTAATATTAAAATTTAGGTATTGGATATGTAAATAGGATGTTATAAAGTAGTATGTATGTAAATTTTCTTAATTTTTTTTTACTATTATTGCTAAGAATATTTTAACACGCAATAAAACCAATAAGTTTCGACATAAAATCATTTTACAACTAGACCGAACATTAATTACGTCCTCTGATCGGACGTAGAGTTACATTCGGCCGCCAATAATATGTCGCCAAGTGCTCTTATTCTTTACCACGCGGCCCGACGACTTGACCCGGGCCGGAACCCGGGAATGCTATGTTCGCGTATTGCGAGGTATTACTCGGTATTTGCTCGGTATTGCTAGGTATTGTTTGACAATAACGAGAAATACCGCTCTGTGAAGACAAATACTGAGTAATACCGAGAAATACCGAGTTGTACCGAGTTTTTCTAGAAAAACTCGGTATTTCTAGAAAAACTCGGTATTTGCTAGAAATACTAAGTTGTACCGAGTTTTTCTAGAAATACCGAGTTGTATCGAGTTTTTCTAGAAATATCGAGTTGTACCGAGTTTTTTAGAAAAACTCGGTACAACTCGGTATTGCTCGGTATTTGCTCGGTATTGGTTACTGCCAAGCAAAATCGACCAATACCTAGCAATACCGAGCAATACCTAGCAAAATTGAAAAATACCGAGCCATCCTAGGTCCGTTTCGGATCGGGTTGTCGGTCCGCGCGGTAAATAGTGAGAACGTATGGCGCGATTTTATTAGCAGCCGAATGTACGTCTGTGACCGGACCAAATAAAAATTCGGAAATATGACAGTTTGAACTGCAACTAACTGGTCGAACCCACCGCCGCCGTTAATGAAAGTTGTGGAGGCGCTCCACGTGACTAAATTTACGAGCATCTCATCTAAAAATATTAACAACAAAATTTCACCCCTTCAGACCACCTGCATCCCGCGGTAGATTCTGCGGGTCTCAAATTTCGGTCGCCTTTTTCTCCTAATGGCAAATTTCCGTAATAACCGGCTACCTGCAACTGCCGCTCGGCCTCTCCGCCTTCTATAAATAGCGAGAGCTCTTCACTGTAGCGGCTGCTCCTCTCTTTCTCTCTCCTCTTACACTTTACCTTCGCATTTCTCAGGCCGCCTTCTAGGGTTTCTCCGCCGTGCATTGCTGCGAGCGCCTTGTGCTCGATCTCGATTTGAGATTCTAAGATCGTTTATTTTTTCATAAAAAAATCGGCTGGAGGCACTTGGTTCGGATTCTTTAAACCCTCTTATTTTTACAGTGCATTGATCTAAATCCGCTCATTTCAGCTTGAAGAGCAGTCGTTTGCATTCCTTAAACAGTTCCTTAAGATTCTTATGTCGTATATATATTATTTTTTCCATTCAACCATTTTATTTCTTCATATGAGATCTGTACCTATCTTCTTCTATTTTAACTCTTTTATACTTAAATTGTTCTTTACTTTTTCCCGTCATGTTCAATATGTTTTGACATGTACAATGACAATTAATTAATTAAATTCTTCTGTTTCCTGCATTGGATCACCGGGACCGTTTCTATTTTTGGTTGGGCTATTTTTGTATTTTTGAAAGGCCGAAGGCTGTGATACTTTTAAGTAAAAGACAGATTGCTTCTTCATGCAACGGCCATATACTGCACAGTTGAAAACTAAAATTGGACGGGCGAACAGCTGTCCCATTCCAGCCAAAATTTCTTTTCCCATCGTATTCAACCTAAAAAAGTCATTCTGTATGAGGGGAATTTTGATAAGCAGAGATTCAATATATGGTAAAACCTTCTTTTTGAAGTATGTCGATCAAGAAATTGAGCTCATTTGTGGTATTCATTAAATTACTTCTAATCCAAAATTTCTTTTATTTCTCATGCTCGGCTTGTACAAGCATGGATTTTAAGGGAGGAAGACGAAAGGATTCATCCTGAATTTTAGAACCAAATTCTGTTTCTATTCATAGGTTTATACCTTTTTCCGTTGGTTCCAATGTTATTAGCTTGATTTATTCAAAATTATAGAAGAAATAGCCAGCACTATTGTAATCACTATTGGAAGTTATTTGTCTTTAAAAAAAATAGTCAATACTTCAGTTAATTATATGAGTTGAAAGCGTTCAGACTAGGAAAAAAATCTTTCATATCCTCCCAATTCTCGTTTTTTTTACCTGTCGTCTAAGCAAATAATAGAAATCTGAAGTTATTAATTTCTCGATTGAATATAGAACTTAAGATTCTATTTATGATGTCAGTAGAAAACAAATTGAGCATTGAAGGAATTGATTGTTGTGGGGATCACACCAAGCACAATTTTCAATGCAAATTGAGGATCTCAAAGCAATTCAATGAATCTGAAAATTAACAACAAAAAGCCTTAGTCCCACTACGTGGGATGCTACATGAATCCTTTTTTGCCATTATGTCCGATTAAAAGTTAAATTTTTATTTAAATCTAATAAAGAAAGAAACGAATCTAAACATATTGCAAAATTACAACAACATAATAACAACATCAAACATTTATCCAACTATGTGCGGTCGGCTACATGAATCCTTTTTCTCCATTATGTCCTATTAATAGTCAAATTCTCATTTAAATTTAATAAAAAACGGTCATTTCTAATACTTTCTAATCAATTTTTTTTAACTATACTTCAACATGTCTTAACATAGGCCAAATATAACACATCTACTCTCCTAACCGAGTCATCAGATGACTGACACTTTTGTTGACCCCTGTAATACAAAAAAAAAAAAAATCGTAGTCGCAGCACGGTTCAGTGTTGCGCACTACGTAGTAAGGATTACTGTAATATAATGCATGCATATGATGAGTAGTAATGTAAATCAATTTGTCCCCTGATGTTGAGTACCCACCCATACCCACCCACAAGGCCATGTACATACCCATACCCACCCATGCCCATACGTGGGTGGGTGTGGGTATGGGCACCCAATGCAGGGCTCTGTTCTTCAGCCCTTCGTTGCTATTCGGCTTCGAGCATTCGACGACTCTCCCTTCCAACGGGATCGGGAGTTACGAACATTTGATCAGAGGCAACAACGGGAGCTTCGCTCTCTGCGAAGGCGCTTCTTCAACCCTTCGTTGTTGTTCGACTTTGCCTCCCTCGATGACGTTCCCTCCAGGTCGGATCAGAGGCTACGACTTCTTGATTGAAAGCAAGGGAGCTCGCTGCTGTGAAGGTACTTTCCCCTTGTCGTGCGTTGCTTGACTTTGCACCTTTGACGACTTTCCCTTCCTGTTTAGTCGGAAGTTAGGACATTTTGATTGCAAATAGCTACGGTAGCCGCTCACTGTGAAGCAACTTTCTCCATTTCACGTGCTTCTCCGACCCCGTCGGGCTGTTCGACCTCGCCTTTCGACGATTCATCCTTCCTATTGGATCGAAAGTTACAACATTTCGATCAAAAGCAACAACAGGAGCTTGCTGGTCGTGTGGGTAACTTTCTCCTTTCTGCCTGCTTCTTCGGCCAAATCCTGTTAATCCATTGAAGAGGAAGAGGGGAAATGGAGGCTTTAATTTGCTTTATTTAATGTTTAATTAATATTAATTAATGTTAATTATAATTAAACATTTTTAATTTGTGTGACACCAACGACGAAGTAGGCGGGCGGCCCTTGAACCCAAAATCATGTTCTCGGCATTCGTGTCGAGCTTGCAAACTGCCCATACACGCTTTTCTCTAGCGTGGTGGGAAGGGAATCCGGTGTGACACCTACGGCGAGGCAGGTAGGCATGGTGCACGCTTTTTTTAGCGTGGCTGGGATAATCTTTAAGTACCCGTACGCAACTTTGTACCTGCGGGGAAACAACTGCTTTTCTTGTAACAGGTACTGAAGACCTATACACGCCTCTTTGGTGTGGTGGGATTGAAGATTTCACTGCCGCGATGTTCGAGGACACCTACCATACACGCTTTTCTCTAGCGTGGTGGGAGGCCTAATTTTTTATAGTTTTTCCCTAAGTGGGAGAGACTTTGGGAGGCTGCCGAAATTTCGGGTGAACGCAAGACCACAGTTGAACCTTATTTGGACTCAAATAAATAGTGGACTTGTGAACTTGAAGCTGAGCATAACTCCAGTGATTGATAAAATACTTGAATCTAAGCAAAATGAATCCTAATGAACATCGAATTCATAATGACTCAAAGAGCTCAAATGAACAAGGACATGACTTGAACATTTAAACTCAAGCAAAGACTTGAGTTGGATCATAGGGGACTCACACAAGACTTGGAATCGAACTAATTTGGACACGAAATGAAATGAACTCGGACTGGACTTAGAACTTGAACTATAATGAAACTTGGGTTTGAGTCATAATACTAAGCTCTCAATAAAGGATAAAGAAGTATCATTTCAATTTTGAAAGAGAATATTAAGTGAACTTGTGGAGGATGTTGAAAATAAATCTCAAACATACAAATAGGGGACTCGTGAAGGAGGGTATCCAAGCAAGATCAACATGCAAGCAAAAATCAAATGAAAGTGTAATCAAATAGCAAGTGATCATTTGTGATATGAAAGCATAAATTGATAATCATGAGTTCTCAATCAAGATCAAATGGAGAATTCATATATAGGGGCATGACACAAGTCACTGAGCAGTGGATCGGACCTTCAAATGATAGGCAAGTGTCAACTATGCAAGCAAATGTATAAGCACTTGTGATAGAAGCATAATCCTAAATACAAATTGATTGCAAAAGATGATTCAAGACTTCCAAATAAGCATTGATGAACAAGACACAATACAAATGACAAGTAAACTCCCAATGCAAATGAACATTGAGTAAATTCTCAAAGCATACAAGTGATGAATATAAGCGAATGAAGGAGGTTGACATACAATGAATGTAACAAGTTGCAATGCGTTCAGTAGAGCTTGTAAAATAGAAGTTTCTTACATTTGTAATCCACACAATAACTCTACTAGTGCATCAGTGGAGTTGCGACGAATATAGCACTCCTACAATTAATGTCAATCCACTCATGGAAGAATATAATAGTTCCTTACAAATGATGACTACCAGCATTGCATTTAAAGATTTGTGGCGAATGCAATTCAACCAACATTCAACAACATTATGTAAGCAAATGTATCAGTCTCCTACAAAAATGGGAGGATCGATGTGCAACAAATATACACATGTAAAACAATAATAATCAACAACCACTTAATATTAGTCGAAAAGCACCAACTCCCCACAAGCAGAAGCAGATGATATGCAACAGATATAGGCTCTTATAAGTTGTTATAGAAGACCCTTCTGTATCCAATACACTGTACTCCTACTAGTAAAGATGTACAACATACAATAAGAGTTGAAGCTTATAAGCCATTACGAGAGACATGTCTTGCACTCAACATACTATTTATGGGAAAATATAGAAGGATAGTGACAAACGCAGGTTCCTACAACCTGCTGTAGAAGACTCGTTATGCATCTAATGTATTGGTCACAAGCAAAATGCAGAATAACTACAACAAATTCAAATGCATGTAGTCAGTTCTAGAAGACTCGTATGGAAAGCAATGACCACGGACAAAAAATATCGTTTGAATACATCCACAAATGTAAAGCAAGAGAAGTTAGTGCACCACAATCCACCTATAGAAAGTAACTAGTGCACAACAGTCTACCTGTACAGAGCAGCAAATAACTCAATCTAAAAGCTGCTACAACACACCACCGGATTCGCAATATGTATATAAACGGACAGAAGGCGTGTGTAAACATTCAAGTAGAGTGTTGCATTCAAATGATGGTAGCCCGCTCAATTGATCAAAGCTAAATATCTAAAATTTCCCTCGCATATGCATCATAATTTGTATACACATAGGTACACGAAAGGGGCAAGTACAATCACAAAACCTGCATGGGCCCTGACGAGCGTGTCGTAGGAACACACATGACGTATAGGGATGTTGCGCGGGTTAATAAACATGAAATCCGATCCTCCTAAGCAGGTAAAATAAGAGTCGATAAGGTTCAACAAGTAATTATAAAATGCCCCCCAAACACTCGCATGGGCCTCGACGAGCGTGTTGTAGGAACACATGTAACGTCCAAGGATGCTGCGCGGATCAATAAACTTGAACCCGATCCTCCTAAGCAGGTAGATATGAGTCGACAAGGTTCAACAAATAACTATAAAATGCCCCCAAACACCTGTATAGGCCCCGACGAATGTGTTGCAAGTATACACGTGAT